TTTTTTTTTTCGTTTTCACAGTCGTTTATATATCTATGTATCGTATCCGAATTTGTTAACTTTAGGACGATGGATTATTGCACACGACTTGTGGAAGTCCAAACTATGTTGCTCCCGAAATACTATCAAACAGAGGATATGATGGTGCAGCCTCAGATACATGGTCGTGTGGTGTTATCTTATACGTAATTCTCACTGGATATCTTCCCTTTGATGACCGGAACCTTGCAGTACTCTATCAAAAGGTAGCAATCGTATAAAATACATATCTTTTGAAGCAAAGACGTTTTAGATATATACCTTTATTACAGTTATTTTAAGGTTGTTGGATGTAGAAATCGTGCAGAAAAAATGACTATACAAACTTCAAACCTCAATTTGTAATCAGATTTTCAAGGGAGAAACCCAGATTCCGAAATGGCTATCTTCCGGGGCAAAAAACTTAATAAAGAGGATTTTGGATCCGAATCCTCAGACACGGATAACAATGTCTGAGATAAAAGAAGATGAATGGTTCAAACAAGGGTATGTACCATTATATCCTAATACAGATGACGAAGAGGAAGAAGAAGAAGAAGAAGATGAAAATACCAGCACAGATGATGATGTGTCATCTGTACATGAGACGGTAGGATCTTATATAGTGTATAGCTTCATTTATCTAACGTATGTTTATCCCTATTTATTATTCTCTCTATGAATGAACTTAATAATTATTCAACTTACATCTCGATATATTTTACTATAAAGCCTTCGGATGCAGAAAGAGATCCCGACTCGCCCACTCTAATCAATGCTTTTCAGCTGATTGGAATGTCATCGTGTCTGGATCTTTCTGGCTTCTTTGAGAAAGAGGTAATTGATGTATGCATATTGATATGAGTTACAATTGTTATTAAATCAAAAGAATTTAAAAAATATGTACGAACAACCTGTAACTGATTTGCAGGACATTTCCGAGAGGAAAATTAGATTTACATCGAATTATTCTCCTAAAGAATTACTGGAGAGGATCGAAAGTACAGTTACAGAGATGGGATTTCACGTTCAAAAGAAAAACGGAAAGGTCAGTTTTCACTAGTTTGTGTTCTTGTGCGCTCATTAGTTGTTCACAGTCCCTTAACACGAATTATAGCTACTAGATTTTTATTTATTTATTTATTTTTTGTATGTATTAAATAAATAATCGCAGTTGAAAGTACTGCAAGGCCAACTGGTAGAGCGCAAAGGTCAGAGAGCCCCCGGATGCCTCTCAGTGGCTGCGGAAGTAAGTTATATTATTGCTTTGCAACGTGAAATTCGAACCATAAGTTTACTGCTTGCCTTTTGATACATAATATAACTAATCATAGGTTTTCGAAATAAGTCCATCCTTGTACGTAGTCGAGTTGCGAAAAGCATATGGCGATCCTACAGTGTACAGACAGGTAGTAAACCGTTTCTCCACAGAGCTCTTCTTTCTTCTTCTCTATACATGTAATTGTTCTTCGACTGGATTTTCATTTGATATCTTTACGCAGTTGTGTGACAAACTAGCAAAGGAATTGGGTGTGGAGCACAAAAGCAAGTGCATTGCCGAGCTACCAATGGATTTTAAAACTAGCAACGACTGATCGTCTCAACTATCGAGCCAAAGCGACTGCTAGTTTATTAATTACAGCTTTTTTATGTGATTAATATGTATATATATACATAACATTATCACTCTTTTTATTCATTTCAAATGTTGTAGAACCCGCGATAAATCTATTACAAGGACAGTAAAGCTGGTTTTCGTGATAATCACTACTGTCGTTAACTCGTTATTAGCACTTATGTTTAAGTTTTAGTAGCCATTAAAAATTTATTGTCTCTAATTTTTCTAGACCCTAGAAAAATTAGAAACAAAGCTTTCTCCCAATTTTGGCAATTTTGGTGCAATTTTGCCCCATACATTTTTTTTCCAAAAAACTCAAAGTCATAAATTCTCTCAAATTTCGGCGAAAATGAGCGACGACGTGGTACGAATTATCACCGGCCAGCGGGTGATACCGACTAGACTGTCGTCGGCTTGCGGCGATTGCGGCCGCACTGGTCGACCGGTCAAATAGACCGACCGCCACCTTGTGCGACCGCAATTGCCGGCCGGCCGATGACGTCCGGTCAATATTGTCGGCCGATCGACTTATTTTTTTTATTACTGATCAATTTTTTTTATTATGATCAAATTTTTATTTATTATAGAAATTATGTTCGAATTTAGAAATTATTATGTTATAAGTTATAATTTATTATCTTATAGAATTTATTATTCTTATGTTAGAACTTAGAAATTAATATGTTATAAATTAGAATTGTTGCATTATTCAAAATTTAATTAGGATTATAAATAAATTTTTATTTCTGGAAAAAGTATTAATTTAAAATATAAATATAAATCGTTATATTATTTAATGTATATTTTTGTTAGTAAACAACAATTATAAATGTTAAATTATTTTTTTACATATAATTATTATTTGTTATATGGTTGATAAATTTAAAGTGCTAAAAATTATTAGGTTATAAATTATAATTTTTTATGTTATAAAATTATGTTTAATATTATTTGTAAATTAATTAGTACTAGAAATAAATGTTTATTTCTGTAAAAAGTATTATGCTAAAATATAAATAAAAATATTTACAATTATTTATATGATATTTATTGTATAATTTTGTTAGTATACAATATTTATAAAGGTCAGCATAACCAGTCTGTTTCAGGCAAATTTGACGTTGCATCTCTCGCCCGATAAGTCGAAGCATCCATATTTCGACTCCTAGTGTGTCGGGTTCCAGAATCAATAAACTCGATATCCTCGATATCGGTGGCCGGTCTACCACCAGTCTAAATCATTGATTTTAACATAGTAAACAATATCTTTTAGTTCATATATTTATTAATCATTATAAAATAATTGGTTTTGCTCACCTGCCCACGGTGGACAGTGCCCACCACTTTTTTTTACATGAAAAACGTATTCTGAGAATACGTTTTTTAATTAAATTAATTGAAAAACGTATTCTCAGAATACGTTTTTCATGTAAAAAAAAAGTGGTGGGCACTGCCCACCGTGGGCAGGTGAGCGGGACTAATAAAATAATTACAATTAACTATTTATTACAAATACTTACTCATACTAATCATAATTACTATTATTAATTATTACTATTTCATAAAATATTAATGTAAGTTTTTTTTTTTTCGGAACGAAAGAGATGTATACTTAAAAGAAAGAGTACAATGTTCCAATACAGACAGGACCAATAGCCGAAAAATAAATCTAGAGAGGACTCGCTATAAAGCGGCCTAGAGATCCACATACGGGATAAGACAAACAAACAAAAACCAACAAGAGATAATCAACTACACCACTGCAACATGCCTAGTGGAGTTGACAAACTACCAGAGCAAAGAGAAACTAGAGAAAACAAGCCACAGAAAACCAAAAGCAAAGGAAACAAACAAAACTAATAGAAAAACTAAGACCGAACCACATCATTCTGAAATTCCAACCAGCCTGAGGTAGCTGCCATAAGAGCAACTCTAGCTGGTAGCTGTTTGTCTTGAAAAATCGATAAGTTGCGCACTTTCCATAGCCACCATAGGATGTAGGTGGTGAGTTGGATTCGAGCTTCTGTTTTAGCTATAGAACAGACCTGCATCCACCAGTTTCTGAAAGTCAGATGCATTATCCTATGAGCAACTAAATATAATTCTTATTAAAATAAATTCATATAATTACATTTAATTAATATATAAATAATATCTTTAAAAGTATAAAAATTCAATATAATTATTATTCATAACCATATAATTAATATAATTCTACTTTTTAATTAATTAATTATACAAATTAATTAATTAACAAAATTATACAAATTTTTGAACTTATATTAGAATACTAATTATAATTTTTTAAGACAATAATTACTCAACAAACCATTTTATTACATATATTACAACTAACTAGTACGAATCCCGTGCGATACACGGGTAAGAGATAATCATTAAAATTTGTAAATTAAAATTCACATTAAATAATATTATAAATAAAAAATAAATTAATATGTAATATAATGTACCTATATTAATTTATTGAAAATATTATAATAAAATTTAAATGGTACAAAATTACATAAAAATGTCTTTTTAATATTAGTATACAACTAGCGTGTTGCACATAACTGATAGTAAATTATATTATATTCGTTTCAAAATATGGGTCATTTCAAAAATTTTATCAGAAATACGATTTGACTATAACGTGATTCCATAAAATAATTAGTTTTGTAAAATTTTATCATATATTTAAAAAGCTATGTGAATAACAAGTATAAATATATAATTTATATTGTTTCATTAATTAATATGAATTTACTTTTGTATAAAATATCCAAATCAAAATATTTAAGTAATTGAGTAAAAACAACCAGCCATAAGGTTTTTTTAGGTTTTCACTCATAAAGTTTTTTATGCCAAAAAAATCGACACTTCTTATTATGCTAATAAAAAATGAAGAGTGCATTTCACACAAAAATTATTTGAAATATCGTAACAAAAAAATGAATTAAATCAAGACCACTAGTTATAAAAAAAAAATATTGGCCAGAGCATTTTCTATAAAAGAAACATCGATACACATGCGCGCGCACACACACACATACACACACACACACACACACATATATATATATATATATAAAGACAACCTAGTAAGTTTCATTAACTTTTAGGGGTGGGCAAAAAAACCGAATTTCCCTGTGCCGAACCGGACCGAAATGGTCCCGTTCGGGAAAATAGGATTCCGAATGGTTTTTCAAATTTTCGTACCGTTCCCGGTACCGAACCGTTTGAAACAATGTCGGTACCGGTTTTGAATATTTTTGTCCCGAACCGTCCCGTTTATCCCGTTTTATTTTTTTCGTACAAATATTATATATATATATATATTATACATATTTATTATATTTATGTTAGTATTATAGTAAATAATTAGCAACAAATTTTAAACTTCTTGTTTAGATTTTCAGTTTAAACTTCTTATACATCACATCAATTTTAATTCACTATTTATCCACTCACATAATTTTAACTAACTATCATTTCCAATCATTTATCTCTTACTTTTACATCAAATCAATTTTAATCATTTTATTTTAAATATTATTTTAATACATTATTAAAATTCCACTAACAACTAACCATGTCATCTTTTTCAAAATTAACTATGGTTAACCAAAATAATTCATTTTGAACAAATTATTTCATAAACAATCAAGCCCTAAACCATTACCCAATAGCCATTACCTATTTATTTGGCCCAAAAATGTATAAGTAAACTCGGCAATCATGCATTAATATTGATTATGGGACTGTGAAGTACTGAAGTTCACTTTTCAATTGAATCAATTCTCATTCTCATTCTCATTTCCCAACCAAAACCAATTTCACATTCTCATTCAGGAATCCCTGATTTCTCAAATCAACTGAAATTTTAATGTATGTTGATTGTGTGTTGATGAAATAAATATTTGTATTTTTTTGTCCCGTTTTGTCCCGGTCCCGAACTGTTTTATACCAGTCCCGATTGATACCGATCCGTTTGGGACGGTGTCTCATCCCGGACCGTTCCTGGGCCGGTTCAAATAAACGGGACAGATACAATGATAGGACAAATCCCGGACCGTCCCGAACCACGCCCACCCCTATTAACTTCATTATTATTATCTTTAAAAATCATACAACATTAAATGTTACCTTAAATTTTAGGCTTTAGTTCAATTTATTATTTAAAAAATCTGGCTAAGATCTTTTTAAGTGTGCATGCTAAAATCTCGGTCTCTATATTTATAAAATCTCAATTCAAAATATAACAAAAGTTTTAGAATCTTGGTCTTTATATTTGTGCTTTTCAAAAAAAAAA